AGCACTCAGAGTCAGGGCACTCGCTTTCTACTACGGCGACTAGCTAGTGATGAATTCGACAACGAACAATCTCCACCCCAGTAACATGTTTTCCCACCACTCCTCGCGCAGCATTCTCCGCCACCAAAAAGGGATTCACGCCACTGTTGATATCCAGATATCACTGCGAAATGGCTCGATACATCATACGTCAAACAACGGCATGGAATTATGGCTACTGTGGAAGGGATTATGGGAGATGGTTAACCTTGTACATACAATCTAAACAGGTATGTCTATTATGATTCAACCTCATTGGTGACCGGACTTCAGGAGGCCAATGCGCAGGACATTCCAGCTGAACCTTTCGACGATTCAGATATTCCTCAACTCCGAATATTTTCAATGTTCTATCTCTGTGCTCACATTGGTGTCATGGCTCGAGTGCTTCCACCAACTGAGTCCCGATTGCAGTCGCTGCTGAGACCTTGTTGCGTCGCGCATTCACCAAATCTCTTGGTCACGACGCTCGCCCTCCTACTCGAACATCTATACCGAAGAGAAAGAACTCGTTGGCAGGTTTTCAGCGATAGGAAAGCATGGAAGAAGCAGGTGGATAGTGAATCGCGAGTGAGTACTGTTTGCATTCATATTTCCGTCTTTTTTTGATGATTCCTTGTTCCCAAGACATATGACGTTCGCCCCCTTCTATTCGGCGAGTTTCAGTTCTCTCCTCTGTTTGGAATGTATTACAACCGTAACATATTTGAAGTAGGCATTGAGATGCTTCCCGATTCCTCTTTCTCCAATTCTATCAACATGCCAATCCCTGCTGACATCCTATCCCTCAGTGTCGGTCAGGTACTAGATTTTATTTGGCTGTAGGTTACATTATCAAGGGATCTTACATATTGACTCTTGTAATACACATATTTTATCCTATTTACATTACTCAGTCGCTCGCCCATCCTGTGTAAGAATAATAGAGATAGGTACATCCTGCTTCACCCATTGTTCAAGGGATTAACCTGACCCCACGTTCTGCAGGGCCCATCTGAGATTATGGCGCCTGAGGACCTGTTGTTCATTCTCTATGTGAGATTTTTTTTTGTTTCACACGAAGCCTGCCTATAGTTTCTGCTGCATCAGCAAAACGTCCAATTACACTTTGGTAACTTAGACTTTGATGTTTGCAACTTTGAGCAACTATTTTAACTTTATCGTGAACTTTCACTTCAGGAATACATCTTTGACTTTGATTTCTATTCTTTGATCTACTTTCTGAACATCTTTTACTTTGGAGTTGAAACTTTGAAAAGAGACAAAAATTATAAAATTAGAAGTTATTCTTTGAACTACTTTCTGAACGTCGTTTACTTTGGAAACTTTGAAAAGAGACAGAAATTATAGAATTAGAAGTTTAGAAGGCTATCTCATGAGCATGATAATCTATATACTTATTTACGTAGAAGGCTTGGAAAGAATCTAAACTATCATTAAAATTAAAGTTGTGAGGAAGGCGCGTTGCGCCGTCACAAACACCCATCAGATGAGCATTGCGCAAAACGGAATCAAGGTGAACGATATCTAACAACGGGTTCCCAAGATCATCAAGGTCAGGCTTTACCTTCCACATCCGTGTGTCGGGACAGGGCTGATCTCCTATCACTGAGTACCATGACACGAGGGCACATGGATGCGCAATGCCATGATGCCGGATCGAAAGGAAAGAGCGGACACGTGCGACGAGCAGCCCGCGGAAGCCTTCGAGGTTGCTGTCCTGCTCAACGAAAGCGCAATCATATCTCGGGGGCCCTTTCCTCCATGAGCTGACTGCCCGAATACGTTCTCGAAACATTCCTCGCGTGCCAGACTTGTCACTGGGAGCGAAGTAGGTGGCGAGAGCGGAGGCGTAGACGCGGACTTTGACATGGGAAAGAGATGGGCAGTTGTCGAGAGGCACAAGGCCTAGGGGGATAAGTGAGTCGGGGTTTTCCTGTTGGTACAAGAAACGTCGGACAAGCTCTGGAAGTTCTGGGGTGCCCAGTTGATCAGCAAGGGCAGTAACCTCGCGTGGTAGCCTAGGGACTACATGTAGAAAGGTTGGTCAGGCAATAAGTACAAAAGAAAAAGATATAGAAACGTACGTGGCTTTCTCGCGAGAGTGACCTCCCCCAAAATGTCACCATCAACCGCTCCTCCATCGTCATCTTCCTCAACCTCTGGTCGCGTGGTGGGGGGCAGTTGGGGACCAGGTGGGTCGTGTCCACTAAACATGGAGGCATTGAGCATCCCCCTAGCTTGGAAGTTGACACGTGCAGCAGCTAGCTTATCGAGCCGCTGGTTAGTAACAAGCATCTGGCCGAGTGCCTCAAAACGGCTCGAACGACGCCACGGCTCCTTGACAGCTGCAATGTGCCTTGATTCGGTAATCGATGAACAAAGGCCGTTCGGCGCACCAAACTCTTGGATTAAGAACTTGTAATGAACGATGGAGTGTTGGCGGGGTAAGGAGTACCCGTCCGGGCGAATGGCATTGAATGCAACGCGCTCACGGTGGAAGTCGGCCACAGCATTGTCAATGGCGATGAGATCATCGTCATCGATAACGGAGCGGCGTACTAAATAACAAAACTCCATGAACGCGCTGATTGCACGGACCATTTGAGGCGGAACATGACCCATGATAGCGGGGAGGTAGACCTGCCGAGGGAATAAGTCAATAGCGTAAGAGACGGAGGAGATCAAAAAATACCTTCATGAGAGCCTTGGAATCATCTCCCGTCCACTGTTTAAAGCCACGACCCTCTGGAAAGCGTCGAAGGCCCGGGAACGGAGGAGCAGTAGCAATCCTGAGTTTATATGGAGGTAAGAGATGGTTACCGAAAGATAAAACAGAATGACTTACCGGCGGTCGATGTCGGCTAAAATTTGTCTTGCCTCCGCAGGTGAATAAGTCGCCTCGATGTATTCCGTGACCCAAGTGACGAGGTGATCCTTGAAGGTACCTTTGATGATCTGGTGTAGAAGATCAGGAGACAAAAGCTCATGGATATCCGCTCTCGGAAATCCATGAGTGAAAGGCTCAATAAAATGTTAGATTTAGAGTTGATAGAAGAAAGAAACAACATACCATGATATCAGAAATTATTCCGTAGTCATCCCAAAGGGACTTCTTTCCCACTGCCTCAAAGTTCGGAAAAAGGTACACTTGTCCATGCCATTTTACCTCCTATCTACTTACACGATTTTGAAGGGTATGTTTCAAAACCCGTTGATCATGTACACCCTCGCGCACGCCCATTTTATTGAGTACGGCGACGACATACAATCTCAGCTCAACGAGGACAACAAACCTGTCAGTGCCATAATTCTCTCCTTACAAGCCGTAAGTACAACATCATCAGCCTACCGCGCCAACACTGACATCTTTTCTCTCAGGTTGAACATGTACTTAGGTCCTGGCAAACGGGGACACGCGACAGCAGTGGCACAGCAAGTGCCGGTTACTTCTCATCCGACAACTACGGAGACCGCACGGTGAAGGAGACAAAAGGGACTGGTCCCTCCGGGAAGACGTTCATGAAGATCGACCCCCGCGCCTCGCGGTTCCTCAAATCGGCCAAGGACCTCACGGACAAGCACTGGGCGGAGATTTTTGCGGCTGCCACGGCGTTTCTCAGCAACAGCCGCAAGCGGAAACGATCCCAATCAGCATCGTCATTCGCCAGTTCAGACCTTGTAGAGGATAGTATCCCCGAGTATTCATTTGTATCTGATTCGGATTGAATACAATTTTATTTTATGCCCCACTGAAGTACCGAAAGTTTACAAATAAGTGAATCAAAGTTGTACTACCAAAGTGAAAGATGGATACCAAAGTGCTGCCGAAAGATGTTTTTCAACTTTGGAAAGTGGTTCAGCAACTTTGAAAGTTGTTCAGCAACTTTGAAAGTTCTTGTACCTTACTTTCCAAAGTTGTCGAACTCTGGCAACTTTCGCAACTTTACAACTTTGCAAAGTTGCGAAAGTTGCCCAAAGTTCAATCGGACGTTTTGCTGATGTGTTAGACGTCCGGATCTACATAGTGTCGTCCGCGCCGCAGGAGAGTACCTTAAGTTTGCACAGCCCTCGCTGTCAAATACATCTTTGATGTCTTCCCCGATAACAAATGGCTGACGTCGGTTGGATCACTGGTCACACATACGTTATATTTTCCTCAATCACTCGCAATTCTCAGATGACATCCAGATATATTGTGTACGGCCCTCTCGCCAACGGAGTCACTACCACGGTGCTCACCACGTCGAGAACCATGACCTCAGCAGCCTGTGCGTCCTTAGCAGCGTGGGCGAGCCTATCGACCCAGAGGCGTCGAATTGGTATAACGAACGTGTTGGTAAGACTCAGTGCGCCATTGCGGATACCTTCTGGTGAGTTGTACATATTCCGTGGTGTCCACTGATGCTGAACGCTCACAGGCAAACAGAGACTGGGTCGATCGTCATTACACCGTTCCCTGGTGTTATCGAGACACTCCCCGGCTCCGCAATTATCCCCTTCTTCGGTATTGAGCCTGCCATTCTTGATCCCGTTACGGGCAATGAATTGGAAGGTAATAATGTTGAAGGTGTTCTTGTCCTCAAGACGCCTTGGCCGTCTATCGCTCGCACTGTCTGCAAAGAACATAAAAGCTATCTGGGCACCTGCATGAATGTATGCCATTTCGCCTTTTTGACATTGTTTCACACCTCGCGTGGGCCGAGTTGTATTTAATGTTCTCGAACATATTCAGGAAAACCGATATGGAGCTCTTCAACACGACGTATGTTATTTCCCATTAACTCTTAGCACGTTTTCTCTCTGATGGAATAACAGGGAGGACGACATTAAATTCAGTGCTTACCTGACTCCACGGTATCGTGGAAAGTAAAGCGTTGTTGGACGATTGAAGGCGAGCACGTAGCTCCTGTAATGCCAGTCAGTATATAGTCCTAAGGTTCCACTGCCAGTGTGTACACGTCATAAAATCGTTATATTCCGTAAGTACGTTGCATACTATATTTTACTGAAGTTGGGGTAATATGCGTAAGGTAAGCTTGTCCAAGGAAGGAATAATGCAATCAGGTTCGTCGCAAATGAACCGCGGATAATGTCAAAGGGGGATAACGAAGGTGTGTGAACGAAGATGAAAAAAAATGGCAAGGAAAACGAAGATAATAAACCATAAAGATGGAGAACAATCCAGCAGAGATCGAATAATTACCACTCCCCGACCCACTCCCCTCCACTGGCAAGGGAGGAAAAGACGCCCTTGCGCTGGATGAGCTTGTCAGCGAAACGTTGAACAGTACTCCCTGGGGTGCCTGTTGAATTCCCGCTCAGGTGGTGACTGTGCATGATCGAGTCAGACAGTACACATTCTAATAAAAAATTGAACACTACGCACGCCCCTCTATAGACACCTGGAATCCGGCCAACTGTAACCGCATACCAACAATCGTCAAAGCTGGAAACGGGATCTGTGACAGAAGAGCTTTGAGCTGGAGCTGTTTAAATTGTAAGCAGCCGGATGCTGCACGTCTAAGTGTTTCGTTGGACGTCGTATATTGGATACGTGTTTTTTCGCGCACCTGTCTCCCCTTGGCCACACCAACATCCGCAATCCTTCACTCCATACCGCTACCCCTCCCAGCAGTCGCTTCCATCTTATATTTGGACTCTGATATGCTGACAGTGTGGAGGCGGTCTTCGAGGTCGTCTGTGTTGATTTAGCTGCGTTGAAGATGGAGGGGGAAGACGGAAAAGGGAGGGGGGGACGTACCATCCGTAAGGTAATGATGGAGAAGGCGGTACGAAACGCCCACCTGTCCTCGGGAAAAAGTATGTCAGTGCTCCTCGTGCGCACGATACTCACCTAGATGCTTGTGTTCTAGCTGCTTCGTCACTTTTCCTCTTGCACCCTTGGTTACGTTGGCGGGAAGAAGCCCTTGTCGATGTTCAAGCACTTGGGCGGCGCGGAGTGGTTAGTTACTGAACTAACCAAGTCGGTTGAAACTCCGACAGCCTGTCCTCCGGCTATCTGACGCAAACGTGTCCAAATACGCACGTTCGGGAAGAATGACATCATTGGGATGCGTTCCGGCTATCCCTGGTGAACGATTGACGTCATCTGCACTCATTCCGGCTACTTCGAAGCGTTCAATTTTTTACGCGCCCCAATTACATTGAACCCTTCCCAAGCTTGAGATCTGTTGAGAGATCCAAAACGTTGGAAATGAACCTTCACGTGACTTTACACGTGATAGTTCTATTTGTGTTCACCCAACAATTACAGAGGTTTTCACGCTGTCCTTACACTCCACCATCACCGCTATCGTGTCGGAAAATATTTCTGGCGTACGTCTCATATGTATTACAACTATTGGAAATTTTTATACACCACTTATTGAGGCGGCCGTGATGCAAGTTCCCCAAAGTCAATAATTTTGCAACATTGCGACCCCCCCCCCCCAATTCTATGTTCAGGATCTCGCTTGAAAAACCTTGGTAAAGCTGACAGTTCTACACGTAATTGTCCCCTTCAGGACCCCGCCAAGTTTGTACCTCTGAATTTCCAGAACTTTTGTCAGTGGAAGATACTAGCGTGCCACAGCGCGCATCATACTACCTACCACTCCCTAACTTCCTCCATTCGCAGATTATCGTTTTTGTCCATGGGCAACTCACATATCTATTCCTAAATGTAGTATTCAACGCTTCTCAACTACAAATGATCACAGCGGAACACGCGGACGTACATACATTTAGAAAAAGAATGGTAGCCCCCTACTCCTCCCTCAATTCCAGATCCATCGCGCTCGAAACGCATTGGCACTTTTACACATCAGGGTCTTCTTTAGGACACTACCATCTGTGTGCCTGGGTATGTAATTTCCGTTAGTGAAAGATTATAGCCGGCGTGTCGTTTCCCATATTTCGTACCATTCCTCACATTCCTCCATTCGCAGCATGCCAGACGTGGGGAGACGTGTGCAAGAATATGTCACATTCTTTACCTAGATCCTCTATAGTATCAACGATTCGAAACGTTGACAAAGCGTAGGGGACGTATATTTCGAACAATATGTGAGGATATACTCCTCCTCCCCCGATTCTTCATCGTGCTTGAAACGCAGAGGTATATTCCATCTTGACGTGTCAGAGTCTTGTTCGGGTAGTATTCCCGACGTCACTGCACTTGTGAGTTCATCAGTTTTGCTGTAAGAAATTTGTGAGCTGGCGTTCGCGCTTACTGTCCGAACCCTTCAATAATACGATTTCGTGGTTCTGTGATAGAGAAAAATCTGAAACTTGTTTATTCATGTGGTAGAATCATAATACACTTACCTGTACAGGAAGGACCAAAGCACATAGTTTCATTCGAGTTTAGATGACCGCTGAATGTGTCCTCCTTCTCCTCTCCCGATTCCGAATTAAAAAACGGCGTTCTGAACATTAAACTGTCAGAAAGATATTCATCAAGGGTCTGATGGCTGTACGTACTTTGATTTGAAACGACTTGGCTTGTATCTTTCTCGCAGCGTCGCAAGGCTTTCGCGAACGGGAGCCGTGCAGAGTTCTGCCGTTGTGCGTTGGTCGGTTGTTCTCTCGGGATGAGTTGAATGTATTTCGAGTGCCGCCTAATAAAAAGTACATTTAACGAAGCCGAAGTTGATTAAATAAACCAAAGGAATGGATACGTACGAAACCAATGCAAAGCTCATTTCCTCCGTCCTCCCCGGTTCCGAACCCTGCACAATGCACAATACGAAACCCTACCTCCATAAAATTTCTGCGTCACGTCAGCTACAACTCGGCTGGTTACTGCCAAGGCAGAAAGGCTAAAGGCAGAAAGGCTATAAAGATGGGGCGGTCAGTCCCATAATTTTTCAACAGCGCTAGCGCCCACCTACATACGCTCTCATATCCTACCTCCACTCTCTCCTCCTTTCATTGTCAATTGTCGATCCCCATTCCCCTCTCGTCGTCGACCTCTTGTTCGTCGTCGTTATTCTCCAGTAAGCCGTCCGCTCGTCGTGGTCTGTAGTCGTCGTGGTTTGCAGTTGTTGATTTTGACGTTGCTTATTGACTTTTTAAGACTTTCCAACGCTAGACGGTGACCGGGTATGTCAACGTCGATTTCGTCGTGGACAACGTTCGCTTACCTTTGCTTCTATTCCTTTCCTGCAGGGTGATTGGCTAAAATGAGCGGGATAGGCGTTGCGAGGGTCATGAATAAAAAGTTGGTTCTGCAAAAAGTATGTCAGTCGTTCACATCCCCTCGAGTACACAGCATTAACTCACCTGATCCCAGCTCTTTCGTCGTGTCTCCCACGCAATGATCGCCTTGGCCGTCGATGAGACTGTAGAAGGTTCGTTAGCGTCCTTCCGCGCAACTCCCGCGTTTGAATCACTCACTCACTTACTAATGTGTCCACATCGGCTAGAATGACATGATGAGCTACAAAATGTAAGTAATCGTACACGAATCCCGATAGGAACCAACTGGCCTCTTGAAAGTTGAAAGTTGAGCTTGAGGTTGTGGCTGATGGACGTCTTGGCAAACGGTGAGCAAACAGTAACATGTGTAACGATCGTGACTTGTACTTGAGCTCTACACAAAGCCCAGCGTTGGCACTTTCCAACACGCAGGACGACGATAGACGTGACGTCTACTTCAGAGGTGTAGGATGTAGGGTGGTAAGTTGTTTACAACGGAATGAGACGTTCCGTGAATACTTAACGTGATTGCGCATCATTAGCTCGATGTCGACAACACCAGACGTCGGAAAAGACTCCATCATTGAGGGAACACGGGTGGATAGTCGAGCAGGCGGTGTAGAGAGGGAGCGGGAAGGTGTGGAAGTGGATAGTACGTCTATCCTCCTTACTATTTGTCCCAAACTTCACATACGTTTCCCTCTTGGATTCATATTCTTTCTCTAAATGGGTTCCCGCCACCCAGGGAAGGTAAAACCAACGGCCGCTAGGCAAGTTCTTTCCCTTAAAGGTTAGTGCAGGGTTGGAGTAATTCGTTGTGCTCCTCCCCATGCCGATGTCCTCGGGTTTGCGGTCTATTGTGAAGAAGTCGCTGAGGTGACTGGAGGAGAGGACGCGAGAGCCACTACGCTTGAGGTGCCGAAGGCGACGCAATAGATGAGGTTGGAATGGGCTTCATATTTGGAGTCTTTGCGTTTTCTAATGCGGTTATTTGAACGCCGGCCGGTTGTAACTGACATAACCGCTGTCAAGATCTGACGGTGGATCTGACAGTCTCTGTCAATATTATGACCTGTCCACAAACTATGCACCGTGACGACGATTCCCGCCTTTTTTCCTCCTTGCCATTCACCTCTCTTCTCGTCTTCGGCCTCCTACCTACAAATCCGTCATTTTTGTCTCTTCAACCCCCAACCCACTCTCGTTTACAATTGCCCTGACCATTTCAAGTTTGAAGTTTGTCCCCGTCCGATTGCATTCTGTCCTCGCTACTCACCTCCAATTGTAGAATGGACAACTGGAGAGTAGCTGTGCTAGGCGACGGCGGTGTGGGCAAAACAGCGCTAGCTGTCCAGGTGCGCCCACCCCTTGTCATAAACATGATTGAACTTGCAAATTAACGCTTTTTCACCTAGTTTACCCTCAACTCTTTCGTTGGTAAGCTTTTAACCTCTCATTTCTATTGTACAACGATCAACCGAGTATTGTCTTTCATCAGAGGTACTCCTCTCACTTATCGTTCTCCAATACTCTCTAATGGATCTGTAGACGTACGATCCCACGATTGAAGACGCGTACCGGAAGCAGTTGGTGGTAGACAATAGGATGTGTTTTGTAGAGGTCATTGACACCGCTGGACAGGGTGCGCGTTCTTTCTGCCCCTGATACTTCTCATTACTCACCAAACACCAGAGGAATATGCCACGTTGCGTGATCAGTGGGTCCGGTGAGTCATATTAGTACGCCTTGTTACCCTAGCTTATGGGTGTTCAGAGAGGGGCAAGGATTTATCTTAGTTTATTCCGTCACCTCTCGGTCGACATTCAATCGGCTTGAGGTTTTCCGCCAGTCCATGTGCCGAGTCAAGCGGGTTGACCCCGTGTTCATTCTTGTGGGCAACAAGTGTGACAAGACCTATGAGCGAGAGGTGTCAAAGGAGGAAGGTGCTGCAATGGCGCGGCGCTTTGGCTGTGAATTCATTGAGACCTCAGCCAAGACAGCGCAGAACTGGCAAGCAAAAGCATGCAGCAGCTCCTCCCTTTGGCCTCACGCGGGCCTGTCGCCTGCCAGGCAGCGGTCAGTCGAGCCGTTAGTGATCGATCAGAACTCCTGTCGCTGTATCGCGCTGACAGTGCCCCCTTTAACTGTTAGCTCTGCAATCTGCTCCTTCAAGACTTGGGGGTGCCGCGCTACACCGAAGGTGATACTTCCCTGCGCAAGACTGTCGACTCCCTCGCTCAGATGAACTATGACGACAAGCGCAAGTTGCTCGTACAAGTCGTACGTTCCAACACAGCACTCCATTTTCGTGCTTGGAGAGGTTGACATTAAGTGCAGTGTCAACATCCGAGGCCAGCCCTTTGGTCAACGACAGCCACAGATACTCTCGAGTACGTCTGCGGTGTGGTTGTGCGTGTCCTAAACGGCGAAATACCATCTCGAGGTGAGTCTCCCTCGGGAGCCTCCATTCTATCTTTTTCATTATAGTCGCCAACGTCACGCTCATACTTTTGCGTTATTTCATCTATTCCACGTTGGTTCTGCATACCTCGCGTGCTGCTCCTCAATCCTTCTTCGCATCCCATTTTTCCGCATGCCCGATTTATATTCACCTCGGAGATCGTTTGAGCGGCGATGTGCTCTCTGCGTTCACCTCTTCTGTTCTATTTTCCTCGCTGGACTTTACAGGTTCATCACCATTACAAACCCGCCAACGGACCTCCACTTGAACACCATCGCCTGGCCGTCATCAATACCCCTGTCAAGTGAAACCCACCTATTGTAGGATTTTAGTCAAATCCCGATCTCAGATATACGTTGACCCTCATCCCCAGCCCAAAATTCTCCATCTTCGTCGAATCTTTATCTTCAAAGCATCTCAAGCTCTATATGCACCATCCCCGAAAGTGGGTCACTCCATTGACGAGAGGTGGAAAGTACCAGGTGACTGCTAAATTAGGTGTCGTAATGTTGTTATATTGAGATGGGGACGTGATTCGTGAAGGATCCCAACTTGGGCACAGAAAATTGCGGCTTGCGTAGATGTTACATGTTCATGCATTCTCGACCTCGTAAATATGAGAGCGCTCAAGAAATGTAGTATTTATAATATATACCTGTCCTGCCAAATCCGCCAGACCCGTCAGACCCGCCAAACCCGCGGAAACCTGTACCCTTACCCGCGGAAACCCCTACCCCTGGTTGCGGGTTCATGGGTGAGTTTTGCGACGCATCGTTCGCCATAAAGAGAAGAGAAAGAACATCACGCCGACTTTAAGTAATTATAAGTTGCAGGTATTAGGTAAGGATCGTTACGCCTTCCGTCACACAATGTCACATTATGTGACTGACAATCATCGCGTCTATTGTGTTTGTGCTTATCACTTTAGATGTTCACTATGTCAAATCGTTCGCTGACGCCTCCTGAACGCTCAGATACACACACGCAGCTGGTGGACGCAGAAGATCCTCCGACCGACTCGGAGGCAGAACGGCAATCAACCCCCACGCAGCGGAAGCGACGCCTGGACCATGACGACCAACCTTATATTCCCGATGTTCAACGCAACGTCAAAGATCAGACGCCCAAGAAGAGGAAGACCGCGTCCACCTTGGCATCCTATGTCAAGTCAAATGTGATTCGGGAAGCTGTGGCTGTCCACGGGGCGCCAACAGAGGGTCATCAACCCAAGTGCCTCATC